CAAGAGAGAGGAAGTTACATTTACCTGGAGGGGAATACTTGTCGTTTGAATTTTACACAGGTGAATTCGTTTGTTTTCACAGTTTGCATTATAATGTGCCTGTGGAGCCTAATATCAAGTTCACTGACGGTGACTGCTGGAGGAAGAGTGAAGAGTGCCGTTGAGGCACGCGCAGTGTACAGAGTTACCACCGATGTCGCTCTTTCATTGGATCAACGATAGCAGTTTGCATCTGCAGTCGCTGCCTGAAACGTCTGCTCAACAATTTGACTTCCTGTGAATGCCTCGCTTTCTTCTGATATCTCACCAGAGAAGCGAAACCTCAATACTGTCAATTTCAGCTGCGACTAATTAAGACGGAGCCTTCTACTGGCATTTTTACCATTGTTCCTGCTGCTGCTTTGAAAGAAGACTTTTCGCTCATTTTCTTCAGTTCATCACTTCACCACTTGTTACTATAAATACCAGCAGTTGCCACCATTCTCCGCATACCAACCGGTTGATCAAGAGTAAGGCACTCCTAAAGGTTCCCGTCAGCTCCGTTGATATATTAGTTTACATGCCGTGTCATGCTGTGTCTGTTTACTGCTCAGCTTGTTTTTTTTGAAATTATGTAATGTAAATGTACAATGCGCTCTTCTTTTCAGCCCCTGATGCTTCACTGGTTGATGAACGGCGAACCGTTCCTGGCATTCACGGTGGATCGGGAGCAATTTTTCGTGCCTATTTCATTAATTCTACGGGTGGGTCTAGTATTCAAACTATATTTATGATTCAGGCCCTAATGGATAAGACTGAGTTGGAGATTTACGAGGACATTCGTCGTGGTGGTGGAAATTCCCTGTTCTTGGAAGAGTAAGTAGACTTTTGATTATCCTTCATTAGTGTGACTAAGCTTGTGAATAAATTTGACGTAAGATTAATTGCCCCAGTCAATTTGTGTCTCCCTTTAGGACCATCTCGCTTTTTATTTTATTTTTAGACATGCTATGCGAATTTTGCTGCGCCTGCAGGAGGATGACTATAATAGTCAACCCCGTGCACTACGTACCCTGGGAAAACTGTTTCGAGAACGCATGCGTCTGCCGGATACCTATAGCGACTACGCGGCTGGGGAATATTTGATGAAGTAAGTAAACTCAGTCTGTATATTTGATATCCTATTGGTAGTGTTGCCTGTTAGGGGCGCTGGGGTGCCCTATGTACAAAAAAGGCTAGTATACCTGCTTTTGACTTCTTAATTTACATGGCATTATGTCAGCTCGTTGTTTTCTTTCAAGCTAATTAGTAGAAGTCAGATTGCCTAAATGATGAGATGGAATCGATCAAATTTTTGAGTTACACACTGGCACATGTTTGTTCCAAAGTTGGACCAAATGACAAACCAAATCGGGATCATATTCTTCTATCATTTCATGTCATGATTGGTGTACAAGTCTAAACAATTCCAGAACCCACAGTCTTTTGAAAAGTGGCGTCATACACCATCAGTGGCAGTTCGTAGACGGATAAAAATTCCCCTCACCGCCCACCAGGCCCCTTCTAGTCCAGTTCCTGTTGTATTAGGAAGGTTTTTTACGTTTTAAGTGACTTCCGATAGCCTATACTCCCTCAAAGG